GTACCTAGAGTACCACCAGAAACGAGACAAACACATCAGGTTCATCATCAACAACCCAACATGTCTAGTAAGGTGGCTAAGCCAGAGGAGCACGGGACCCCTTGCAAGCCCACCAAGGCAGGACATGTTGAGCGAGTACCATCTGTTGTTAAGTTGGAAAATTCAAAATCAACACCAAAGGAGTCGTATCTCCTTAAGGAGGAGAAACATGTTGTCTATGGATGGCTTGTCTGGTTTAATCCATGGATTTGGCAGTGGGTATACACCTTTGGCACGTTTGTGGTGGCCAAAGGGTATGGAAAACAGTGATGCATGTCACTCTTTGCTATATTAAAATAAATAAATAAATACTAGTAAAATAAGAGTGAAAAAGCCAATCATGGCTAAAAAAAGAAGAAATTAGAGTTGTAACACTTGCGGTGTGAAGACTTTGCCATGACTGGTAAACAACGAGTCAAGTGGCTGGGTCTATGGAGCCCCTTACGCTCATTTGAGTACATCATGCCACTTCATGACATGAGTAGCTGACTAGCTGTCCGTCATGGATCGTGTACCTTCCATGCCACCTGTCTAAGGATGCATACTTGTTGAAAGATGATCGGGTGCTACATGATCGGTTGATCAATGAAAGTATCTTAAGCCTTATGTCCGTTTTTCTTTGGGGCAAGGGGTGTCAACGGGTTCAAAGTTAACCAACCATCCTGATGGTAGGCATGACATGACACCCTCTTTGTGGACAGAGCTTGCATAGCTAGCCATGACACAGAGGGCGTGTTGGGATAGAGTAGTGGAGGCAGTGATTGATTTTGGTCTTTTAATTATCAAGGCCAATGATAATTACGGTTGGATATGGTGCAGAGGTGTTTTAGTGCGTTTTGGTTTTTATTATTCAAACCAACGAGCATTTTTTTAGTGGTGTAGTTGACGTTAACTACTTAGTCCATAATCCTTATGCACTAAGTAGTTGGGGGGCATTTGTTTACCACTAAAAAAATTATTCAATACCACATTGATTATTTTCAAGGAGTGGTAGTGATTTATAAGGCCAGCTCAACATTAATGATTAAAAGAGCTAGCTGGGCCTTGTTGGGTTGGGTTTTTGGGCCTAAGTGGCCAAACCCCTTCTTCTCTATACAATGGCCGACCCGTCTCCGTGGCCTCCATAGCTGGACGATGCCTCCACCCTTTGGTATGAAATTTGACTAAGTATGGAGACCCAACCACAAGGGGGGTCATGCATGACCTCTTCCAAGGTGGTCTCGTCCAAGGGGTCATGCATGACATCGTCCCAGGGGGGTCAAGCATGATGTCATGCAAAGGGGTCATCGCGCTAGACCGTGATGGGAAAGAAGGCGAAAATTGGCTAAGTGTTGAGACCCATAGCACAAGGGGGGTCATGCATGACACCATCCAAGGGGGTCAAGCACAAGGGGGGGTCATGCATGACTTCGTCCAAGGGGGGTCAAGCATGACATTGTCCTAGGGTGTCAAGCACTATGCCATCCCAAGGGGGTCTCGTCCAAGGGGGTCATGCATGACTTCGTCTAAGGGGGTCTCGTCTAAGGGGGGTCAAGCATGACATCACGCAAGGGGGGGGTCATGCATGACTCCGTCCAAGGGGTCAAGCACAAGGGGGATCATGCATAGACATCATCCCAGGGGGGTCAAGCACTACGCCATCTACCTACCTTGCACCAAGGGGTTCAAGCGTGATACCATCCAAGGTGAGTCGAGTATGGCCAAACGCAAGGGGGGTCTAGCCGCGTACCGGGTATCAAGCAAGAAGGGCAACGCGAGTCCCTAGACCATTGTGGTGAAGAAAGCCAAAATTCGGCTAAGTATGGAGATACAACCACCAGGGGGGTCATGCCTGACACTGTCAAAGGGGGTCAAGCACCACCGGATACCAAACACTAGGGTGGCAAGCATGATGCCACCCCAAAGGGGTCAGTGCGGATCCATCGAACCCTCAAGCACCTTGGTGTCGAGCATGACTTCATGTCAAGGTGGTTAGCACGAGTACCACCAAGTGTGAAGCCTTCACTCATCAAACAAGACACCTCCATGGCACAAGGGTTAGTTATCAAGTGGCAAGCACGCAAGACAGTCAAGGCGTCAAGCAAGCTACATCAAACACCAAGCAGTGGAGCAGCGGTTACCAAGAGGCGGTTGCACGACGGTTACAAGGGACGACTATAAATAGGAGAAACGAAGGCGAAGCAAGGGTTCCACAACCAATCATTTGACACACAATGTCAAAATTTATCTTTTCCCTGCAAATCAGCTTTTAGTTTTTGGAGCTCTCACTGAACCTCCATAGGAGTAGAGTAACGTAGCTTGTTCCCAAAAAACCATCAAACAATCAAACACCCTCGTTCGAACATTGTTCGGAGAGGAGTGGACCGTGTAATTATCGTTGTTCAAGAAGTCAAAGGTGCATTCATTGTGTTCAATCACCAGATTTTCCTCGCCGGAAAACACAATCACTATTTTATTTTCGAGAATTTCCCCCCATTTATTTCAACAACTATGAAATAACAAGTGGTCAACAACATTAATTTCATTTATAAGATTCTGTAATTTTTTTGATTAATTGGTAGATGAGTTTGCATAAAAAAAGATTATGTATAAATGGATTAGTATGGATAGTTGAAATGATTGTGTGAAAACTGAAGTTTTGTGAAGTGATGAAAAGCGAGATAGAATTTCTTTTTATTTCACAGTGAGACAAAGAAGTTTCTTTTGAAAAACGATTATCAGTTCTCACTCATTTTCCCGTTTCTTTCTCAGAATCTTCAAATCTTACTCAATAGTGAGAGATTACATATTTATGCATTTATTACCCGAACGAGCCACTTTCTCCGAAGTAGCTGCGTGGTAAACTATTTCTTGTTCATTTCAATTCTTAATGTACCCAACTCAAAATCCTAGATCGACCGTTCCTTTCATTCAGGTATTTCGGTGATTTAATTTGTAAACTATTTTTTTGTCACTCATCAAATATCCGACATGACATCTAGTCACTGACCATAAACATGATTTAATTTTTAACTTTTTGTAACCCCATGTTGTTGATCTCCCTTCCTTTGCTTTGTTTACATTTGTATTTTCCTTTGAAGAAATTCTTCTTCTTTTATAATTTGGAATTTACCAGTGTATGTGACAAGGAAAAGAAGAAACAAGTTCAGAGATCCAAAACAATTGATTTAAAATTTTGTATGGGAATGGGATCGTTCAAAAACAAGCATCCCACCGAAACTCATATATTTGTACTACTCATTCATGGACTCGAGAGAGTCTTAATGCTAACTAACATCATTATTTTATACTGAATACTCAATCAGATCACCATTAATTCTTATAATTAAGCTGGTATTATTGAAGTTTGACAATTGAAAATATCCATTCTTATTGACAAAAATAGCCTTTTATTCTTAATTAATTGATCTATTATGAAAGTTTTACGTTGGACTTTTTATATTTGGACGTTACAGGCTGTTCGGTTGTATTCCTTTGTTGGCATATTCCGCCGCGCGGCCGGAGTGACATTAACGATGGGCCTTCCGCCGGTGGGCCCACCAATCTCAGATATTCCCCATTTTGCCCCTTTCCTACTGCCTTCCTTTCCCCGCGTTCCCCACTTCCCTTGTCTGTACTGTAACCGGCTCGACGGGTACTCAGGTAAAACGACAAAAGGGGATCCAGTCGCCACTCGCCACCGCACCTCCTCTCTCTTTTTGGGGATATATCTGAATCAATCCCTGAATCGTTCCTTGCTGACATTTTAGTCCTAGGAGGTGAGATGGATCTTGCGTTTAAGGACAATGTGTCCAAATGCAAGGCAACTCACCTCAGACTTCAGAGTGAGTGAGAAAGAGAGCCATAATAACAGCATCAGAAGAATGCAGTTGCTCTCCAAGTAGGCAAGTAATCTTACGATATTTCTATTTTCACAGCGTAACAACAAACTATAATATAGAATCGACTCACTCTACTGACAACAGTACCCTGTTGACTCAAGTTGCACGTCCAATCTAACACCATGTGCTTAAAGGGTAATAAAAAGAAAATTGTGGATCGATTTTATTTCCCCAATACCGCATTACACGTAAAGGGTTGATTCAAACAACACATAGCTACTCAGACCTCCATATTAGAGAGAATGTGGGTTGGAGAAGACTGATAGGATACCTAACTTATAAATTCAACCAGAAGGTGAGAGTAGAGACATTGTTTATTTATAAATTTTCTTATGTATTTTCTTAATCAAATCCAACAATTATAGGATACATACCTTGTAAATTCTGTTAAATCACCCATAATTAATCCTTGTTATGAAAATATCAAATAACAACTAAAACCTTTTAAAAAGTACTTAAATATTCCAGCAATTACAAAAATACCACAAAACATAAATAATGTTCCAAATATAAAAGCATGATGGAAACCAAAGAAGCTTATACAACTGGGCCACGAGATGGTGAGTGTGAAGAGTTTTTTAAACTATAGAGGGGAAACCCAAATTCATGATATTATTGATGAGATAACCTCGTGCATAACTCATGAACTCATTAATGAATTGAGTTAAAAAAAAAAAGACGAGCGGAGATTTTATTGCACCCTACTCCCAAGCCCATATAGGTCAATTTGTTTGGATGAATACTGGGATAAAAAAGACATGATTATTTAAGTGAGTATACTATAAAGTCTATTAGGGACCAAAATGTCATTATAAATGACTTGGGGAGTAGGAAATTGGAAAAGCTATTCGTTTTGGTACTGATTCTTTATATTTCTCTAAAATTTGTTTTAAAATATTTTTCGATACTTTGAACATAAATTTTTTTCCTCGGTATAAGTGCCAGCTAGTCTCAATTCTCAGGAAAACTCCTCGGCTTCACCGGCTCTGACCGGTCACCGGTCCTCCCTGTCACTACTACTTCGCCTCGAAATCATTTGTTTCATCATCAGCCGTTCCTTTTCCATTTTTCAAAAAACAATTTCCATTTCTTTTCCTTCTCACACGATTTTCGCTCCAAACACTCCGCCGCCGGCCGCCGCTGCTTCCCCCCTCCCGCCGTCGACCCGACGGTTATATCTCCATTTTCCCGTTGATTTTCTCATTCAATACTCTGTTCCGTTAATTTTCTTCCGTTACTTCCTCTTCTCTTTCTCTACTTCCGACTCAGGGAGACATTTTTTTCGGTCTTCCAGAGGGAAACACCAGAGAGAGAGAGAGGAAGAGGAAAGGACAAAACGAGAAGACGTAATGTAAAGAAACCGTGTTAAAACCCTAGAGACAGTCTCCCAAGCCGTTTGGTTTTCTTCGCTTATTCAATGGAGTCTCAGCAGGCGTCTCCCGCTGCTTACGCGAAGAAGCTGGCCGACGGCGGGCGGTACAGCGGCGGGAAGCACGAGTACGACGGCTTGTTCACCGGTCCGATGAAGCTCGGCTCCACAGTGGAGGATTACAGGGAGATATTCGGCCGGTCGGGGACGTCGTCTATTCCGATGCTCGATGTTCCCGAGCTGAACGAGCAGAAGGCTGCCGTCGAGCCGCGGGGCTCCAGGCCGGATTACGCGAAGATTTTCGGTGGATTCGGTGAAGCGGACTTTGCTATGCCTTACGATGAGTTGATTTCCAGAGGGGAGAAGGAGATGAAGTCTTCTCCTGCAGCTCGGTACGTTAAATTTTCCCCCTCTCTCAACGCTCTTAGATGCTCGTTCTTTCTCTTTCGTAGATGAACTTCATCGGAGAATCGTACTGGTAGTTCTCTAGAGCTAAGGAACACAGATGATAGAGACGTTTGATTGTGTCTGTTTAGTGCTGCTGACCCGAGAGTGTCGATCGTTCCTTGAATGCCTTAGCTAGAAAGAAATCTGGAAACAACCTTCGCTTTTCCACTATTGGAAGAGATTGCTTTTGGTCCCCAACTGGCCAAAAGAGTACTCGATGTTCCAATTAATGGAATAAAGCGTTACAGTAGAAAGGAAATGGAAAGAAAACTGTGTGATCCAGAGTCTTGGGAGTTAGTTGGGTGGAACTTGATCAATGTGAAGATCAGTTTGGCCCTTTTCCGCCTTTATTTTGCCTGGTTATCGTTATAAGTCTTTGTTTTCCTCTCCCCAGCTGCTTTTCTTGATGATCTCTTGCTAGTCATTGGGTAGAATAAATTATAGATGAGAAGTTTCATCTTTTTTGGTGAACATGAATGTTTTGTGTAGGGCTCCAGCTGAATTGAGATCCCAGTTCTCCCCAGCTCCTGAGCAATCTGCATTTGATGAGAGGAAGAGAATGTCAGCAGAAGCATCTGTTCAATCATCCATGGATGGTGCTAAACACGTCAACGTGTTGTATCACAAGACAAACTCAGGAGGCAGAATGGGGAAAAGTGGCATGACACATGTTGCTCAGCTCCATGCCATTCCTGGTTTTACTCGCTTGATTGATGAAAATGGTCCATCTCAGTCTCCTGAAGGTGCCAGGTCCAGTCGTTATGTGCTGAATGATGTTCATCTTAATTCCAATGACGAGATGAAGGAAGCGAGGCCTCAGAGGAGAGCTTACTCAGGTCCCCTACTGTTCAGTAATCCTTCAGGACAGCATGCTGAACATCACAGAACATCTAGCTCCATTTCAAATGATGCAGCTTTTTATACTTCCAACAGATCATCGATGAAATCCAAAGTTGGGATTCCGAAATCTGCTGCTGGCAGTTACTCTCCACCTTTCTTGGATGATGAAGTGGATGCAAATTCGGCTGCTGCGGCTTCTGCAGCTGCTGTGAGGAAGGCAATAGAGGAAGCTCAAGCTAAAATCAAGATTGCAAGAGAGTTAATGGAGAGGAAAAAGGAAGGTCGTCAGAGTCGTTCCAGGCTAAAGGTCAATCATGGGTTGAAATCTGAGAAAAGGGAAGCCAAGTCTACTGAAAAAACTTATCAATACAAAGAAGAGGCTGAGGAATTGTACCGGAAAGATGATACTCCAATGAAGCAAGTTTTCAATGGCTCATTGGGGCAACATTCAGCAGAAGTCCATCGAGTGACTTTGGACTTCAGGGATGAGACCAAAGGACCTATTGCTAGCCCTGCCCATACTATAACACTCACTAAAGAAGCCGCATTTAGTGAAGTTGATTCAAGACGGGCAGAGACTGGAACAAGCAAATCTGAACATGGTTCCCCAGAAGCTGCCAGTAGCAAAGGGTACGAGCCTTCAATCACACAGGTTGAGCACGAAGAGAAAACAAAGAAAGTGACAGTAAGTAGTTATGAAAACAAATGGAAGGAGAGGGTGAAAGCATCAGTTTTACAGGACAAATCTGAACATGGTTCCCCAGAAGCTGCCAGTAGCAAAGGGTACGAGCCTTCAATCACACAGGTTGAGCACGAAGAGAAAACAAAGAAAGTGACAGTAAGTAGTTATGAAAACAAATGGAAGGAGAGGGTGAAAGCATCAGTTTTACAGGACAAATTTGAGAATATAATGAGAATGCTGCGGGGACCAGCAGATGTTGAAGTGCCGGAAAAAAATTTAGAGCGGCTGAAAGGTGATCATAGTGAGTTGGGAAGTGAGGCTAAACATGAGGAATTAAAAGGTAGATTAAATGAAGCTGCAGCAAGGGAGGATGAGAGGACGGTTAAAGTTAAATCATGGCTGGATAATATTGCCAAGGGACACAAGGAACAAGAACATGACGGTGAAGAGGGAGAAACGGAGAAGCCTCAAAGTTGTGATCTGAGACAAGATGATGCCGTGAATACTTCGCGTGACGTTGATGCAGGGAAAACATCAAAAGTAAGGGTTGGCCATGATGACCTAGAGGATGCAGGTGAAAAGATGTCCTCAACCAATGGCTGGGAAGAAGTGAAGGAAAAGGTTGAGGAAGAAGCCAAAGAGAACAAACATGCTGTTGGCAGGCATGGAGAAGACAGCTTTTCTGAATTTGTAGAAACTGAGAGAATGGAGTCTGAGGTTCATCAAAGGTCGGAAGTTGATGACGAAACCGATAAGGTTACTCAAGAGCCTCCCATAAGCCAGAATGATTATATTGAAGTGGCTCCTAAGTTGCACAAGTCAACTGAGAGTGAGACTAATGTTGATCAGATTGATGAAATCCATGTGTGTGGGGAGCTTGCTGTTAGACTGAATGAAGAGGCCACTATGCCTTCCTATGGACCCAGAGATATTGAAAAAGAGCCAGAAGCAGTTGAAGAGACATATCCCTCGGCAGAAGAGGGGGATTCTGCAAGGGTTGATGGGGCTGGGGTGCAAAGTGATGAGCCACAGGAGCCCCTTATTATCGATGAAAATGGGGTATGTTCCGGTGGAGTTGCTTATAACTTTAACTGCCAGCAGACTGAAGACGGTACAGCAGAATGCGAAAGAACCTCCATTCCTGAAAGGCATGTTGAAGAGGGGGCTACTCAATCAGAAGAAAGCAAAGAGAATGTAGATGATGCCGAAGTTAGCAGCACGAGTGAAGCAACTACTGATAATTTTCAACCTCTTGGTGAGGAAAAGGTGTCACCTAATCAGACTGAGTCCAGGTCACATGCTGAACCAGAAAAGCATGTAGAAGAAGCCTTGAGTGATTTGGAAGAAGATGATAAGGTTCCTCCTCCTGCAAACAATAGTACACCATTTATGGATGAGGAGAGATTGTCGGATGATGGAGTAGGTACAAGCAGGAGTCAACAATCTAGTGTTTCTGAGGAGGAAGGGACCGATGACGCTGCTGCATCTTCAGGTCAGAAAACGAGTAAAAACGTTGTTGATGAAACCGAATTAGCTTACTACAAGACCATGCAAATGCAAGAGAGAGAAGATAAACAGAGCCCGGAGAAGGACATGGGGGTGGAAAGGAAGCAACATCTAAAAAAAAAGGAAGCAGAAAAAGAAAAGGACTTGGAGAAGGAGAAGGAGAGACAGAGAATAGCGGTGGAGAGGGCAATACGAGAAGCACGTGAGCGGGCTTTTGCGGATGCTCGAGAGAAAGCAGAAAAGGCAGCTTCAGAGAGAGCTGCTGCAGAAGCAGAACGGAGGGCAAAGGCGGCTGCTCGAGAAAGGTCTGAGAGGGCTACTGCATTGGAGAAAGCTGCTGCGGAGGCCAAACTGAAAGCCGAACGGGCTGCGGTTGAAAGAGCAACTGCAGAGGCGAGGGAGCGAGCCCTGGAGAAAGCATTGTCCGAGAAGGCTTCTGTCAGGGGGAGAAATTATGGTGATAAGTCTCCTGCGCCTTCAAAGGATGATGGGAGGTCCACTGTGAGTATCTTCTTCACCATTGTTTTTTCTGCAACTGCTCTTTGTTTGCTGAAGAATTTATTGACACTTGAGGGCGTATTTCTTCCAGGATCAACGATACAAAAGCTCGGGATCTTCAAGCAGTTCAAGATATCAAAGTTCTGTGAATAATGCTGGTATGTCCACCTATAGAAACCATATAACTCTCTTTAGCCATTATTTTCTTCATTTGTTGCCTTAGCGACTTCTGAAAACTGAACATTATTGCTTTGTGAAGTTCCCAACTCGACAGTATCTGGTGGTGCCAGTGGTGCATCATCTCTGAAGTCTAAAGCCTCGTCGGAGAAGCAGCAGCAAATGGCTGAGCGTGCTGTATGTCTCTTGCTTGTGATCTACATCATATTTACCCGAACTCTTTGTCTTCTAAACAAAATGTCATCTTTGTTTCTCCTCAGGCAAAAGCTCTGGCAGAGAAGAATATGCGTGATCTTCTTGTGCAGAAGGAGCAAGCTGAGAAAAATGTAATTTGCTCGTTTTCTAATGGAACAATCAAAATGATAGTTGTTAGTAAGGATTAATGCTTTAACATCATCAACTCCACTTTACATAATTTGCAGAGACTGGCGGAAATCTTGGATGCTGAGATCAAAAGGTGGTCCAGTGGGAAAGAAAGGAATTTGCGCGTTCTACTTTCAACACTTCACTACGTATGTATCTATTTCTATTCAGTTGTGTCCTCTACTGGAAAGAAACAACAGTTCCACTCCTATTGCCTCTTTTTCGGGTTACAACAGCTCTCAAGCTCTTATGGTTTTAACTCTGCAGATCCTTGGTCCTGATAGCGGTTGGCAAGCTATTCCTAGGACAGATCTCAACTCAGCAACCGCTGTAAGGAAAGCTTACAAGAAGGCGACTCTTTTTGTTCATCCCGACAAGTTGCAGCAACGCGGTGCCAGCATACGCCAGAAGTATGTCTGCGAGAAGGTCTTCGAACTTCTCAAGGTATATAATAGCAGTGCCTCTGGATCTATGAGCTTTTGTCTTGAAGTTAACTTCTCGTGCAAGTTTTTTTACCCTACGTCTTAGATAATCTGGCTTTACATTTCTTGTGATATTTGTTTCTTTCAGGATGCCTGGAGTAGATTCAGTGCAGAAGATCGGTGATTGAGTTTGTTACCACGATAGCCTCAAAAGTTAACTACATTCATAGCTTGTATAAAAACTGTACAAAGACAGAAAAAGGAGGAGAAGAGGGGAAGGGGTAGGGAGGGAATGCCATTTCTGTTATTCTTTAGTGACTTGGGAGAGAAGGAAAAGGAAGCTTTTGGATCGTTCATCGATAGTATATATAATGCCTTTCATTGTTTGTTCAATGCCCTTACAATTTAATGAGCTATCGATGCATTCGAAAGACCAATAGACATGGCCAACAATTTAAGTACCTCGTCGTCTTTTAACTTACGGGTTAACTTACGGGCTAAGCAACCGTTATTCAAGTTCCTAGCTTTCTAAAACTCATACAGAAAGACTGGAAAAGGGAAACAAGACTACTAAACTCAGTCCTCAAAACTCGTCCAACCGCAACTTGCACTACTTCATTGACAACTAAGGCCAAGCTCACAACCCAAGGGCATGAAGCATTATGGCGTTCTGGGCATGCATTCGGTTTTCAGCTTGAGCGAACACTATTGAGTTTGGTGCTTCGATCACGGCATCAGTAACCTCGACTCCCCTTTCTGCGGGTAGACAATGCATGAAGTATGCCCTGGGACCAGCCAACTTCATAAGCTGTTCGTCCACCTGCCAATTTGAATCAATCAAAGAGAGGTTTAGCTCAAAATGCAGCGGGAGAAAACTAAACACGGAGGAGAGGAAGGCGCGCGAGTATACAATGACCTGGAATCCTTGAAACACTTGACGGCGATGTGCAGCCTCTTCCTTCTGGCCCATGCTGGCCCACACGTCCGAGTAAACGACATCAGCTCCACGGACAGCTTCTTTTGGGTCATTTGTTATCTCGATCTTGCTGATGCCAGCCCGCCGTGCCTTCTCCACTGTTTTCTGGTCTGGCTCAAAACCTTTCGGGCAAGCACAAACGAAGTGGAAAGGAACGACGGATGCTAGCAATAGCCAAGAGTGAACAATGTTGTTGCCGTCCCCAACATATACAACCTGCAATTTGTGGCAGGTCAGTGGCCAAATTCTAAGGACGACAGAAGAGATGGTCCATACCGAGAAATGACTTTCTGGTTAGATGCAACAAAATTGTGGATCCACTTGATCATATAACCAACTTTCCAATCAAATGAGCTTCCAACTTCTACCATTAAGAGCTACTTATAATTTGATGTGGACCTCTTCTCAAAACTCCCTAAGTGTTGTAGCCATTTCCATAAAGTTCATAATCATTCGCTTTTCTTAATATTCTTCACAAACACACACAAAACCCAAACGAAGTTCTACTTTCATTGTTTCTTATTGGTGACAACCTCTCGAACCAGCTATGGAACAAGATAAAGAACAGTTTTAGAACACACCTTAGTTCCTTCCAGCTGACCAACATGTTCAATCATAGTAAGGGCATCAGCCATTATTTGGCAAGGATGATTGTAATCAGTCAGGCCGTTGATAACAGGCACACTCGAATACTTCGCTAGATCCAGTATATCCTACAAATGGAAAATCATTAATCATTTCACTAAGGAGTTCCACACAATCAAAACTTACAACACTCATCAGCATACCTGATGTGCGAAAACACGAGCCATGATCACATCGTTATATCGAGACAACACGCGAGCAACATCGCGAGTTTCCTCCCTTTTACCCATTTGGATGTCGTCGGGCCCCAAGTAAATGGCATGCCCTCCGAGCAAGAAGAATCCAGTCTCAAACGACACCCTCGTTCTCATCGATGGCTTAGCAAAGATCATAGCCATCGTCTTCCCCTTAAAAGGAAGATACACCCTTTCCCCAGACTTCAACAATGCCTTCACTTCAGCTGCCCGGTCTAGCATCTTCATGATCGTTGCCTTGTCGAAATCGTCAATGTGAAGAAAATCATTCCATTGTGGTTTCTCTGAACAAAACACAGAGTTCAGTGAATAGGCAAGCCAATTAAGACTACCAAATTTTGGGTAGCAAATAGAGATTCAGTGCACCGCGATCACAGTTTACACAACTTAAATTAGACTACTTTGGACATTCTATTCTATCCAAAACCCTAACGAAATCAACAGAAAAAAGAAACAATAAGTGAAGCGGCTCTAGACCGTCGAGTTAATGGAAATGAGATGATTTAAGCGGAAGATGGACTGACCTTTCCCGAAGGCGGGAGCTGGCGGCGAAGATGTGACGGAGGAGCTCTGGCAGGATATTTTTCCTCCGATGGCCCTTGACGGCGGCGAAAAGAGGGAGAGCTGGGGCAATCGAACGAGGACATTTCCGGAGAAGGAAGAGGAGGACGACGAGAGGGAGAGCTTATTAGTTGGAAGAACACAGTGGCCAGAGACGGCGGCCGCCATTGTTAGGAGTTGGAGCAGTGGCAGCAAAGGAAGCAAGTAGTCTGAAACTGAGCAAGTATGAGAACGAGTGGTTTTATTATTCTTTCATATACCTCTTCCCACGGCGAAACGACATCTTTAAATGCCGTATTTTTTTTTTTTTTTTGCCATAGATAGATAGTAAATCGATAGCGATTTACAATAAGTTTGAAAGTAAAAAGCGGCAGTCAACCAAGTGGTGATCTGCCGATGCAAGGGCCTTTTTGCTAGGCAATGGGCAGCCCAGTTAGTAGTACGAGGAGCAAAAACAAACTGAACAAAGGTGAAAGTAGACTTCAACAGGAGAATCTTTTCCATAATCGCCCCTCCTCTGACATGCCGAGATAAACCTGATGAGACTTGCCGGATAACCATTTGTGAATCTCCACAAAAGCAAACGACATTAAAACCATGACTTAAACACCGACTCATAGCATCTCTAAGAGCTAATAATTCAAGAAGGAAGAGTTCATCCAAACCTGAATACTTTTTACCATAAGCACAGACTAATGAAGCTCCTGATGAGATACCCACAAAATCAATGCTGCCACATTCATTCTTCCTTGTAGCTCCATCGAACCGCATCAGCAGGCCACCTAATAGACTTGAAGGAGGTAAGTTGGTGGAAGCAGAACGTCGCTGGGTCTGATGTTGTTGTTGGGGCGAGTTGGTGGCCGACTGCCATTCCGCCATTTGGGTCTGGAATTGACGTAAAAGAGCTGGAGGGAGGTATTGAATATGGTCATATATTGACCAACATCGCCCCTTCCATAACCGCCAGGCAATGTACACCGTCTCTGCAATTTGATCCCTGGATAACTGCATAGAGAAGAAGAGACGAGGCCACAAGAATTCAGAAGGAATGAGACTCGGTTCATGTCGCAATTGACTCTTGACAGCAAGCATCCACACCTCCCTTGCAATCCTGCAGCCAAGAAAATAGTGAGAAATGGTTTCATCAGCTGCTGAACATACAGGACAGGTGCGCGAGGGGCACAGGGACTTATCTTGGAGTATTGTACAAAGAGGGAGGAAACCACGAACAACTCTCCACAGGAAGAATTTCAATTTCGGAGGGAGTGGCAAGCTCCAAAGGCACCTCCAGAACTTGGAATTAAGTTGGGGTGGAAGGCTAACAAACATATTATCTCGCTCAGAAGAAAGGAGATGATAGCCGGACTTGACAGTGTATAGACCGGATTCCGAGAAGTGCCAAATCAGTCTATCAGGAAGAAGGTTAGCAGGAAGAGGAATTGAAAGGATCCATTTCACACTCTCCAGCTGGAACATACCTTTGATCAACTCTATATTCCAAGATCGGGTCAAGGGATGAATTAAAGAGGCTACAAAGGGATTGGCGAGAACAACACCTGGAAGCAGTGAGGGGGCAGAGGGGGGAGAAGAAGGCAACCAGCTGTCGAGAAGGATGTTGATCGCTTTTCCGCATCCCACCTGCCATCGAAGACCTTTTCGAAGCAACTCTCGTCCTTGTAACACACCTTGCCAAGCCCAAGACGGACGACTACCCACAGCCGCAGAAAGGAATTCCGTTTTCTGATGATACCTAGCCTTGTAAACCCGGGCTAATGTTGAATGAGGGTGTTGCAAAATTATCCACGCTTGTTTGGCAAACATAGCTATGTTAAAGAGATTAAAGTCACGAAAATCCAAACCCCCTCGGAACTTGCTTACACAAATAGCTGGCCAAGAGATCCAATGCATCCCTTTCTCCTTATCCTGACCTGCCCACCAAAACTTAGCCAACTGACTATTTAACTACTCACATGAAGTAGAAAGAAGTCAGAAAAATAGCATTGTGTATACGGGGAGAGCGGATCCAGCAGATTTGATCATCACTTCCTTTCCATCTAGGGATAACCCTTTAGATTTCCAGCTTTGGATGCGCGAGGCAAGAGCATCTTCAACAAACCGAAAGGTTTGGACCTTGGATCGCTGAACTTGGGCTGAAAGGCCTAGGTATTTGTCCAAGGCTCCAATTGAGGATACTCCCATCATAGTTGCTAAAGCTGCTGCCTCTTGGGGATCAACATTAGCACTAAAGCAGATAGAAGATTTTTGGAGATTTATCTTCTGGCCACTAACTTCTTCATATAAATGCAGCATGCTTAGGAGCTGGTGGCATTCAGTGGAAGTAGCCCGCAAGAAGATGTAGGTGTCATCAGCGAAGAAGAGATGAGACAAGGTCGGGGCAACCCGGTGAACCTTAAGTCCATGTAACTGAGAAGAATCCAGGGCTAAAGATATCAATGCTAAGAATGCTTGGGTGTATATTGCAAACTACAGTGGTGCGAATCTCCTTGCCTAATGCCTCGTTGTGGCCGAAAGTAACCATGAGATTGCCCATTCAGTAGAACCGAGAAAGAGACTGAATTTACACAAGACTTAATCCATTTAATCCATTGATGTCCAAATCCCAGCGTTTCCATGACAGCGAACAGGAAAGCCCATTCCACCTGATCATAAGCGTTTCCATGACTTAATCCATTTAATCCATTGAGGAATTGCATAAATTCCTGAGCCAGAAGGATATTATCAGAGATGTCTCTACCCTTTACAAACCCATTCTGAGAATCAGAAATTATATCCGGCAGAAGTTGACTCAACCGCGAAACCAAAACTTTTTGGCAAATATCTTGTAGAAAACTTGACACAATCCGATTAGCCGCATTTGCTTCATGTAGATGGAATTAGGGACCTTTGGCACAAGAGTGATCAATGTGTGATTAAAATTATGCAGCATCCGTCCATATATGAAGAAAGATAGGGCTTCCTTACACACCGAATCACCAACCACCTCCCAATATTCATGGAAGAAGATAGCCCAAAAACCATATGAACCTGGAGCTTGATTTGGGCCAATGCAGAACGTCGCTCGTTTGATCTCTTCTCTGGAGACCCGTGCTTCAAGGAAGGCGTTCTGGCTTGAAGAAACCTTACAGCTGAGTCCCAAGGCATGGATTAAGAAGTAAGGGGAAATCCCATTAGACAGGAACAGGTGATGGAAATACCGAACAACAGTGTTTCCTTTCCCTGGTTCATCATAATGTAGGCTCCCATCCTTATCCTTAATCATCTCAATTGCATTCATTCTTCGTCGTTGAGTAGTAGCCAAATGGAAGAACTTCGAATTGGAATCCCCTCTTTGTAACCAGTTGTTGCGGGATTTCTGCTTTCAATAAAGTTCTTCTGCCTGATATGCAGAGGACAGCTGCAACTCAAGAGCTTTGATTTCCTCCCAATCCACCGGTTGTTGATCACGAGCCGTTTCTATTATTGCCCGGAGTTCTCTAATCTGACGAGCTGAGTAGGTGGTGCCTTGACTCGCCCTTGAGACTAAATGGTGTCGAACTTCCTTCAACAAAGAGAAGAGTTGAAATTGGGGAGTGCCTGACACCACCAGCTGCCATTGGTTGAGAACTATTTCCTTAGCTGTGTCAGTCCCACACCATCTGTGATCAAAGTGAAATCGAGCTTTGCCTCCATCATTCCCTGGGACAAGTTGAAATAAAAGCATTCGGTGATCAGAACCCAAGTTAGACAGATGCAAAAGCTGAACATTAGGCCAAAGTTCCAGAAGAATAGAATTAGCTAAAGCACGATCAAGACGTTCAAGAATATGGGAATTCAGTCCTTGGCGATTTGACCAAGTGAACGGGGAGCCTTTAAAACCAAAGTCCAGAAGCCCTGCATCATTAACAAACTGACGAAACCTCTCAATAGTAGTAAATGCAGGGGGTCGTCCACCCAATTTCTCCGAGAAATCCAATATACAATTGAAATCACCAATCACTAACGTTGGAAAGACCGAGGACAAGATCAAAGGAAGGAGTTCATTAAACTGAGAACAACGGATGTTTACATCATAACTAAGATGAACAAAGAAAATATGAAAGCTACCCCAAACTAAACTCTGGCATTCGACAAACATAAAGAATCCAGATTCACCTATGACCTTACAAATACTATTATCTACCGACGCAATAACCAAACCACCTGCACGGCCTACAACAGACAAGCAATGAACATTAGGAAAGCCCATACGAAGTAACTTCCTAGACACGAAATCGTCCTCTCGTTTCGTCTCACTCAAGAAAATTATAGAGGGAGCGAGCCGAAGAACTGCTCCAAAAAGAGAGGGAACTGTAAGGGAGGAGCCGAAACCCCTACAATTCTACACCAGAACCTTCATTTGTAAGCTTGAGATTCAAAGTTTTTCGAAGTGTCCATTGGAACCACCTTCTGCCTTTTCGCATATGGAGGTCCACTGGAATAATCAGCAATATCTTCCCTACCTCTTGAGAGGGAGACCTGCCCAAGAGAGGCAGGTAGGGACATCAGCAGGGAATTGGAATGGGAGCTAGCTTCCCCTTGCTTCCGCCCTGACGACGGAGCTTCAATCCTCAGAGAATCACCGAACGCAGCGCTAGTAGCAGTAGACAGTAGGAATGGAATAGGCCGAGTCTCATGGGTTTCCTTACCATCTGGGTGTTGGCGAGTCCAAGTGAAGTTACGCCGACCGAGTAAGGAGCGTTCATCCACCTTCGGACCCAATCGCGCTTTCGTAGCCAACAGGTGACGCCCATAGCGAGAATCCTTACCCGCCAGTTCTTCACGACGAGGACATTGTTGGCCAATATGACCAAGAACCCCACACAGATAGCAGAATTGGGGAAGCCTCTCATATTTAACCGTAGCCTCGAACTCCATCTGTCCATCCTTCTCATGGGATGCCGGAACGGAGGTAGGAAGAGGGAGCTTGCCATCAATCGTAACCTTGGCACGCAGATAGATGTCTCCTGTTTCAAATACCCGGTGCACTGACGGAGAGGAGGTCTTGCCAAGGGACAAACCAAGGAGGAGGGACATCCTCCGGGTGCAGCAATCCAGCGGGATATTCCAGAATTGCAGGTCGAGCGGAACCTGCCACCGTTGATCAGCAACTGTCTGTGTAACTGCCACCCAAGGTACCAGATTGACCAGAAATTTGGGGCGAATCCATGGGCTACTCCCTAGAACCCGATCTCTGTCCTCTGCACTGGGGAAGATAAACTGGAAGAGAGAATCGCCCAGCGGGAGGACGGAGATTGCCCCTTTACATTTCCATAATCGACCAAGATCATGGTGAAGGTTGGATAGGGTAGGGGCATGGCCAATTATCCTACCCAACAGAGACAGATCATCTCGTTCAACACCAGCAGCAACGTCAGCGTCGCCAAAGACCACCTGATTAGGAGCAGCCGTTGCAATTTGCAAGGGTTTGACGAGTTGGAGAGCAGCGATAGAGGAGATGCTTTGGATTGGATGACAACGGGACCTCCAAGGGGTCGACTTTAAAAGCCCCGTCAAGGAGACGACCGACTCCGGTGCCACTCTTTGGTGAGGTCGCCGGATACGGCGAGTCGCAGTCTGCGAATACGGAGCTCCCACTCCCCACGATGGAGAGAGGAGAGAGTGGCGACAGGTTTTTACCCCCGTATTTCTTCTTCCTCACTCGTATAAAAATAGCTTTTGACTTAAATTACTCACGCATGGAATGAGTGAGAAGGAGTGGAAGTGTGTCTACAGAATGAATTTTACATTTAAAATGTAAATAAGTATTAATATTTGCATTTAAAAATTATTAAGTATATTGTCAAATTTATACAAAATAGTACAACAACTTTAATTTTTTATAAATTCAATATACACATCTAAATCAAGAATAAAATAACAAAGTTTAATGGTTCATTCAAACATTTTTTTACCTACATTATATATAAAATTTATCAAAAATTCACTGGGTATTGTAATTTTTTTGAAGAGCTAGGTATTGTAAATTTTATTTATAAAATAAAAAATAAAAAATACACTTATGCCCTCTAGGCTCTAGCATCAACCCCTAAGTTTTCCCAACGAGCATCCTAGTATTCCACCCCATGATCTTCCTGTTTTGCTTCATCTTCCAATTTTTTCTAGCCGTCTACCGTCAACCCTTCGTTCCCTTCCAACAAAAGCCTATCATCTACAAAATTCTGGGATTCTAATACAAAAAAGTCATGTACCAGTACAAACAATCTCTAGATCAGTTGCGACCCTAATATTCTCATCGAATCTATCTCTTGCAATCTAGTCATGAGCTCTTCCAACCCTAGTACTGAATTCACAACATATACAAAATTCTGGGATTCTAATACAAAAAATTCACAACATAAATCGTACTGAATTCACAATGGGTCAGATTTTTTTTGTTTGTTTGAAGGTCTAAATCTGAATTGGGTTAAACTTGGTTCGGGCCGGCCTTCACACAATGGGCCAGCTAAGTAAAACCCCAGCTAGCTAATTTTACTTTTTTCTGCGCCGACTCCCAATCTCGATCGATCTATAAGCATATATATATATATTATATATAAATAAGGGTTAATACCTTGTTATGGCCTGAACTATGACCATGTAATCAACTTTGGCCAGTGGTTTGAGAAATTAACATCCTGGCCCGAACTATGCAGCATATAGACAAAATTGGCCTGGAGCGTGGTTTGACTGTTTGTTTGGATGGTCAACACCGTTGACCGTTAGTCAACTGTCCAGGTTACTGCCATGTCAACATAAAAAAAATAATATTTCATTTTTCTTTTTATTTCATTTACAAAATTGAATAATTAAAATAAAAAAAACAAAAACTTTTGGCCCACCCATCCCCACCTTATCCCCTCACCTTATTTCCTTTTCGATCAAACCCAAACAAACCCTATTCCATCTTCTTCCTCCTTCTTCCCCAATAACCCGCCGCCTGCATATCCCCATACCCGCATAAGAACAGATCCTTGAAGCAATCCAAGACTCGGAAACCGAATCGAGCTGTAATCGGCATGGGCGGCATAAAGCTCGTCAGGTCGCTCGCGTCGTTGGAGTGGATAAGCAGAGGTGGCGGTTCCTTCAAGCTCCCGTAGTGGGAAATGAAACTGCGATTGAAGGAGCGATGGGAGATTGGGTTTGTAGCGGAAGGCGGATCTAGGGTTCGGGAGGCGAATCAGAATCTCTACCAGGAGATCTTCTCCGAGCTTGCGGATCATGGAAGGAGGAGGGTTGGCTTCTGATCGGATTGGACGATTCAGTTTTGTGCTGTCCGCCATGGCGGACGGTAGGCAAATGATCGGATTGAAGCAAGATGACGCTGGCGGGAAAAGGTAGAGAAGAGGAGAAGAAAAACCTCATTCTTGGGGGAGTTATTGGATAGAAAGGAAGAAAGAAGGGAGCTCGATTTCGTTTGGGATGTGGAGGCGGTGGGTCGTCGGGAAAGAAGTGAGATGTTTCGGATATGGAGGCGGCGGGACGTTGGGGAAGAAGGGATTTGTTTTCGTTTGGGATATGGAGGCGGCGGCTCATCGGGGAGGAAGGAGGAAGAAAATGGAATAGGGTTTGTTTGGGTTTGATCGAAAAGGAAAGAAGGTGAGGGGATAAGGTGGGGATGGGTGGGCCAAAAGTTTTTGTTTTATTTATTTATTTTAATTATTCAATTTTGTAAATGAAATAAAAAGAAAAATGAATTTTTTTTATGTTGACATGGCAGTGACCTGGACAGTTGACTAACGGTCAACGGTGTCCAAACAAACGGTCAAACCACGCTCCAGGCCAATTTTGTCTATATGCTGCATAGTTCGGGCCAGGATGTTAATTTCTCAAACCACTGGCCAAAGTTGATTACATGGTCATAGTTCAGGCCATAACAAGGTATTAACCCTATAAATAAACTCCATCCTCTATCTTCTTCCTTGTCTTTGGTTAAACAACATAAGAAAATTCCAGCGGCGGCGAGAGTGAGTCGGTCGGTCCCCGGTAGAGATATGGACAAGAAGGAGGAGGAGAAGATGTTATTCCGAGCATCCTCCGAGGACGCGGAATGGGCCTTGGGGTTTCTGGGCCCTGAACAAGAAGCCTGCCCTCCTTGGATCGTCACCCGATTGATAGACCTCAGAGCCGTGGGCCACCTCACCGCGCTCATCGAGTCCAACCGACTGGACCTCAACCAGCTCATCCCCGCCGACGCCTGGTCCTTATGCCGAATGAGGCCCATCCATTACGCTGTTTGGAAGAGGTTCACGGATCTGATCGAACTGTTCGTTCGCCACGGCGCGTCTCCCAACGCCCTAGCCCCTGGCTACCAGTCCGGTGAATTCTGTACAATCCTTCCCATCGAGGCCTTGCTGCTCCGCATCGACGACATACGGGGAAAACTGGAGACGAGGGTTTACGAGTTCTACCCCACGACCCTCTCGGACCTCATCTTCTGGGTTACCTACGCGTTCATCCGCGACGGGCCCGACACTTGGGCCACACTCAAGCTGATGGGCCGGATCACCGACCACGGCCCAATGGAGGCCCGGATCCTGTCCTACGCGCGGAACGGTTGGGCCTGGAGGCTGATCTCCCTCCTGCTGGCGTTGCCGGGCCGAGTCCTCTCCCCGACCTTCCTCCGCTGGGGCCTGCCTTCCAACCCTCGCTTCACCTGCTTCTCCCTCTGCGACTTCCTGGCCGCCCAGCTCGCCTACGTCACCGCCGTCCGCCTCGCCGACGTCTGGCGCCAGAGGCGGCCCGACGGTGATCGCGGCGACGGCCTCCGCAATTACTTGGAGAAGGTGAAGATTCCGATCCTCACTGAATCCCTACAGTTGCTTGAGGCCTTCGAGAGGGCCGGCCCTAGCGGCGTCTCCGCCATGATGGACGCGGCGGAGACGGATCTCAGGGCGGCTGGCTTATCTTCGCCTTTTCTCCGTAACGGGTACGTGTCGCTGATTAAGTGCAAATGTGATCACATGAATGAATAATTGCCAGCTAAAGTATTTAACCTCTCTTTAACAATTCGAGTTATTGAAATCAACTGGTTCTTGCTATTTTGCAGCGAGTTGACTTGGCTGCAGCGGGAGCTGTTAAAAACGGAACAACCGAATCTGGAGCTGAGTCGCGGACTAGGTCGCTTTCTTTAAGACGTTCGCGGCACTGCCCTCGATGCGCACGGCAGACGTTCGCGGCACTGCCCTCTGTGTACTCGCGGTTTTGTGCGAAAACCGGAGCTCTCTGGACACTCTCTCTATTGTGTTTGTGCTCGTTGTGGTGTGTTTAGAGGGGCTGGGGAGGCGGCTATTTATAGGAGCCGAACCCCTAGGAATATACCCTCTTGCTTGGGGAATAAGTCGGATTAATTAAGGAAGATAATTACTTTCTTAATTAAAACCGTCGGTTAGGATAAATCATGCGGAGATTATCCTTCGAATATTCCTTTTCAATCGATTATCCCTTGGAATATTCCTCAGAGTAACCGATTAATAATTAATTATTAAATAATTAATTTCGTTCGGAATTTCTCCAAAAAATATGTATATAGTCTCAAGTGATCCATCCATCCAACCAACCAACCAACCAACCAACCAACCAACCGACCGACCGACCGACCGGTCGGACGGACGGACGGCGCGCGTGTCTTTATACTCATTTCACCAAGTAAAACTACCAATGTGGTAGTTTTTCCACTTGAGACTCTATAGCTTTCAAAGCTATTCATACACATTTCCAACAATCCCCCGCTTGAATAGTTTTGAAACTATCTCTGAGCATTAACAGTTCCATAAGATCGGGCATAAGCTAAGGTATCGCGAAGATTTGAACCTTAGCGTAGTGGTTACACTTCCGATTTCATAAGGGTGACTCGTAGTCTTGAACCCTATCTCAGACAGTGTAGCACACCGGATCTTTTCATTGAGTTGTGTTCTCTTCTTAGCCCGTGCGTTTATGGCCATGCACGTTATCCTGGTTTAGTGAACGCTCTAGCAACTTTGTGCCTCTCAAAGTTCCATAGAGAGCGGCCCCACTCCCACATTCACATAGGTGAGTCTATCAGGAGTACCCCCAAAGTAAAGTACTCCACCCCACATAGGGTATAGATCTCATTAAGAGTTATTAACTCAACCTCCATTGCTTTGGGATTCATGCTTCATTATGCATGAACTTTTCGCATACTACTCATGACTTGTTATTACCCATTGAACCCATTTCTTGGGATCTCCAGTCTATTGGGTCGGGTTACCATCACTTGTAGTCCGTGGTTCGGTAGGCATAAGTCCCATACCCTTGGCGGTATTCTGGACTTTCTCTCTAGGTAATCCTTTCGTCAAAGGATCAGCTAGATTCTGTTCGGATCTTATATGATCCACCCTCACTGCTCCTATCGTTAGGAGTTCTCTAACAGTACTGTGCTTACGACGAATCTGTCATTTCTTTCCGTTATAGAACCGGTTCTCAACTTTAGCGATAGCTGCGGTACTATCACAATGTATCAATACCGGAGGGACCGGGCTTTCCCATAGGGGAATCTCTGACAACAATCCTCTCAACCAACTTGCTTCTTCACTAGCCGTTGCTAGTGCTATCATCTCTGATTCCATAGTTGATTGAGCTAGGATTGTTTGTTTCTTTGACTTCCAAGACACAGCTCCACCAGCGATGTTAAAAACATATCCGCTGGTTGCCTTGGAGTCATCTGATAGGGTATTCCAATCCGCATCACTATACCCTTCTAGTACAGCGGGAAACCTTTGATAGTGTATACCAAGGTTTGCTGTTCTCTTGAGGTATCTCATGACCCTCTCTATAGAATTCCAATGCTCACTACTAGGACAGCTGTTAAACCTGCCAAGCAACCCCACGACATATGCAATGTCTGGTCGAGTGTAATCCGCAGCATAACGGAGAATGCCAATGATGCTAGCATATTCTGTTTGTCTTACACTGTCTCCAGTGTTCTTGAATAGCTTTACACTAGCATCATACGGAGTACACGCAGGTTTACAGTCGAAATAGTTATACTTCTTCAAGATCTTCTCTATGTAACTAGATTGATCTAGAGAATAACCATTTGCTGTTCTAGTTATCTGGATTCCAAGCATAAACTTTGCTTCTCCCAGATCTTTCACCTCAAAGCTCTCTTTTAACATGGCTTTCGCTTCATTGACCACGTGAATATTTGTACCAAATATCAACATGTCATCTACATACAAACATATGATAGTGCAAGTGTTATTCTCTGACTTGCAGTAAATACACTTGTCACTTTCATTCACCTTAAAGCCATGTGAGAGAACGAGAGTGTCAAACTTCTCATGCCACTGTTTTGGAGCCTGTTTCAAACCATATAATGATTTGTCCAACTTACAGACTTTCGAGGCATGTTCAGGGATAACAAACCCTTCTGGTTGTTCCATATAGATTTCTTCATCTAGATCACCGTTCAAAAAAGCAGTCTTAACATCCATTTGGTGTACCACGAGATTGTTCAAGGCAGCAAGAGCAATCATGACACGAATGGATGTTATTCTAGATACTGGTGAATAGGTGTCGAAGAAATCTATATTCTCTCTCTGCCTGTAGCCCTTGACTACTAGGCGAGCTCGGAACCTTTCGATTGCACCATCAGGTTTCCGTTTCGTTTTTAGAACCCATTTATTACCTAAGACTTTGCAGCCAGGAGGTAAGTCTGTTAGATGCCAAGTCTTATTAGCCTCTAACGATTCCATTTCATCTATAACGGCCTCATTCCAAAAGTCTGCATCTATGGAAGTTAATGCTTCCTGCAAACTTTTTGGATCCTCTAGGGTGTATACTATAGTAAAGTCATCACCAAAATCTTTAGAGATTCTAGCTCTTTTACTTCTTCTGAGTTCATCCTCAGATCCAACACCCCCACTTGTTCCGTTATCTCTAATAGCGGGTAGTACATTACCCCCATTATTTCTCGTTTTAAATGGAAATCGTGTCTCAAAGAAATCAGCATCAATGGATTCTATTACTGTACGAGCATTCAAATCATAGAATCTATATGCCTTACTATTGGCCGCATAGCCAACGAAGACACATTCATATGCTCGACTAGCCAACTTAACCCTCTTAGGATCAGGAATTCTTACGTAGGCCAAACATCCCCACGTTCTTAAATAGGACAGATTAGGTGGCTTATTCTTTAAGATCTCATAGGGTGATTCTTTTCTATTTGTTTTTGGAAGACGATTTAGCACATAGCAAACCGTCAACAAAATATCACCCCACCAAGAAGAAGCAGCTCCAGAATTGAGCATAATAGCCACAACTAATTCTGTAAATGTCCTATTTTTCCGCTCAGCTTTACCATTCATTTCTGGTGAATATGG